TCTTTCCCTTGCTGTGGCGCAACCTCCCAGCCAGCTTCATTTGCCAAGTGCAGTTCCATGCAGGCTTATGCTGTGAAATGGAGCCTGTTCCAGCTTTTAGTGTCCCTTTGTAATGGCTGTATGTCAGGAACCTCCTGTGCATGTGTCACAGATACGCTGTGGGTGAGGAGGAATTGCTGGCTGCGGGCTGTGAGGGGCATTGTGCTGCCCAGCTCTGTCCCAGCACACCCCTGGCCCATGCTCTCGTTCCTCTCGTTCCTGGTATCGTCCCAGCAATGAACCCTCAGACCACTGGCCATGATGGGCTGCAGGAGACAAGCACTCCTCAGCAGCCTGCCCTCTGCCCCGAGCTGGTGCGGTGAGGCCCTGAACTCCACGCCAAAACCACCACCGTTCTCTTGGGCTTCAGGTGGTAGGTTGGAAAGCCTCCCGCTGGCTTGCTATCCTGCTCTGAAGGGTGAGCAGGAGGCAGATTTCTGAGCTTTTGATTCATCCATGTGAAGGAGCTCTTCAGGGTGACTCTTTCACAGCCCCTGCTCTGAGGATAAGGTCTCCAATAGGAGGAGGCATCACTCACTCACCTCTGGCGAGGAGGGAAGGGAAGACAAGAGCCCATTGAAAGGCCCTGGGCTTTGGCCGGACTCTTACTGTGACAAGGATTTTGGGAGGGGGAGGAGGAGGACGGTGGGGCAAGGATGAAGGGGCTTACACAAGGCATGTTTTGTAACGCTGGGTGGATTTAAGGATTTGGATTCCATGGCGGTGCTCTGCAAACAGGGTCGAGACCCCGCCGCGAGGTAGGCGGGAGGAGGAGGAAGACACGTGACTCGGGATGAAGGGCAGGTGGGAACAGCGGAGGGAAAACCCAGATCTGTGCCAAGTCCCTGGGTGACGCCGTGATGGCCGGGGAGACCACAGGGACCCTGCGGGAGATCTGCCGGCTGCCCCATCGCCTTCCCACGCCAACCCCGACGCCAGGCTCAGCTCCCTCCTGGGGCCGTTCCACCCCACCACCTCCTGGGACACTCATTTCCAGCCAGCAGGACATTGCTCGATGCGGGGGACAGACCCTAGACCCCCTGGGCTCAGGTGCAGGGAGGTAGATTGGGAAGGTTATGCAAAACAGCTGCTGATTTCAGGGCAAAGCTATCTTATCCTTGGAGCAGCCCCTGCTTGGTTTGGGGTGAAACTGGCTTTTTTTGGTATGAGCAGGTGTCCCGCTTGGTGCTGGCTGCTGTGCTGCATGTGAAGCCCTCGCTTCTAAGTCGGTGGCACCAGGGGCTTCGCTGGCAAGCGCCAGGCTCCTTCCTGAAGGCGAAGGGCCCGGAGGGGACCTCTCCGCCGTGCTGCTGTCCCCCTCCGGCCGCCGTGGCGGCTCCCGCCCCCGGCCCG